TTTTATAGTGATTCTATATATGAAGTTATACTTCCTTTCATACATTATTTTATATAATCACAACTCACAGGGGAAAAAATCTGCACAACAATGACACTCTTGAGAAACCTCTAAAGTTTGGATTTACTGCTTGAGCTACTTTTTCAATTATTGAACAGTAAGTTTTTTATATTTTAACATCATATTATAAATGATTAATCATTTTACATTCTGAGATGTATCTATCGTTTGGAACTTTTAACTATTTTTTCTTTTTGAGTTTAGATATATTATGTGATTCTTTCTTAATTAGTCGTCGTTGAATTTTTTTATATAAGTAGTTTTTAATATAATTAAAAGTGTTTATTTTACAATCTTATAATTATATATATATATACATATATCATTATAAATCATTATATGACAATCCAATTACAACATATTTATATTTAATATTTTTAATAAATTTTATATAATTTCTGTGGGGACATAATTTTTGAATGACAACACGTGGCCAAGGTATCACCGAAGTGCCAACCGAGATGCCACGTGTCCTGGTCATGACACCGAGATCATCTCGGCTAGGTCGAGGTTATCTGCAAAGATACCGGAATCCGGGATAAGCAGATAAGAGACAAGAGTCCTAAAATGAGAAAGGACTTCAGTTTGGGTAAAGATAAGTCTCTTAGAGAGTTTATCCCAATCCTACTAGGGTCCTAAGTCCATTGAAGGTAGGCTTCTATTGGGACTAGGTTTGTGTTGGCTATAAAAGAGAGACACCCTCATAGGTCTAAGGTATGTTTTTTATGCTCTGAATAGTGAGTTAAGCACTTTTTCTATCTTTGAGAGATAATTGACTTGATCGTCGGAGTGCCCCCGGATAGACAAATCACCGTCGAAATCTCTTCTTTTTGTGATAGGTCGTTCCGGCTTAATCTATTCTGCCAGTGTTCTCCAGCTGAGTGCTTGATTGGCAGTGTGGTCAGAAATTGACACACACAATTTCTATTTCTACATATTTTTATTTTCTAAATGAATATAAAAGAAAATTAAATAGTTAGAATTACATTTAATTTTATATTATTAATTCTTCTTTTAATTTAACTATTATTTTTAATATCAAAATTAGTATTTATTTTAGGAGCATTTACACACAAGTCCTAATTTATGAACTTATACTCCATTAAGTCAAAATTAAGTTTAGTGGACCTTCAAGTCCCATTAAATTGTTCATCATTATGATCATTCATAAAGAAAAATGATGATCTGACATTTATTTTGATTTTGAAAACTTTAAAACATTAACCTTCAAATTGAAAAAACTTTTAAAAAAATTACATGCAAAAACCAAAATTGAAAAACTGAATTATTTTTTTGTGCAAAACTGAAAATTTTGTATCTATAAAGGAACATGTTGATGAAACATTGGTGTGCAAAAAAAAAAAAAAAAAAAACTTTAAAAAAGAAAAAACTGATAATCTTCTTGATTTTATTGGATAATTGAATCGAGCTAATAAGTAGCAGTGCAAAAACGTTTAATCTCATGCTTTGTTTTTTTTTTCCCATCAATTACTGAAATAATTATCTGGAACATTGCTATATAAAATTGATAATATTCTTAATTTTAAAAATTTAAAAAAACTGATAATATTTCCAATTTTACTAAATAGGACTTATTAGTTAAAAAAATCTTAAATAAGACCTGAGTTACCATAACATTTGTAAGACTTTTAGGTAATTAATTCTTTATTTTACTATTTTATAATTTAATATATATCATACAAAATTATTATATGATAATTACACTTTTATAATATGATAGAACTAAAATTATTAAAATATAAAAATAATTTAACTAAATTAATATATATAAGTATTCAAGTAACAATATTATAGAACGATAATGTTAACATTATCAAAATATATAATTAAAATCATATTTTAATTTTAATTTTAAATTAAAATAATATTTTTATAACACATATTGTACCATCAAATATTTTAAAAAAAAAAATAACACGTCTATTACACGAATCAACTATTAATCACTTAAATAATAATAAAAAATGTGAGAGAGATAGGGCATTATTGTGCTGCTTTTAACGAGTAATAAAGTTCTGGAAAATTACAAAAGGAATCTTCCGATTTGAATCTTATAATAAAATAAATTTTTAATTTTATAAATTTAAATATAAATATTTTAATTTATCTTCAATATTTTTGTTAAGTAAAATTGATAAAAATAATAATTTAGTCATTAAATTCAATATAAATATATGAAAAATGTCTACAATATATATTTTTATCTTCAATATATTTTTATACTTTTAGATAATTAACTCTTTATTTTACTATTTTATAATTTAATATATATCATACAAAATTATTGTATGATAATTAAATTTTTATAATATGATAGAACTAAAATTATTAAAATATAAAAATAATTTAACTAAAATTAATATATATAAGTATTCAAGTAACAATTTTATACAATGATAATGCTAATATTATCAAAATAAATAATTAAAATCATACTTTAATTTTAATTGTATATTAAAGTAATATTTTTATAACACATATTGTACCATCAAATATTTAAGAAAAAAATAACACGTGTATTACACGAATCAACTATTAATCACTTAAATAATAATAAAAAAATGTGAGAGAGATAGGGCATTATTGTACTGCTAATGAGTAATAAAGTTCTGGAAAATTACAAAAGGAATCTTCCGATTTGAATCTTATAATAAAATAAATTTTTAATTTTATAAATTTAAATATTAATATTTTAATTTATCTTCAATATTTTTGTTAAGTAAAATTGACAAAAATATAATAATTTAGTCATTAAATTCAATATAAATACATGAAAAATGTCTAAAATATATATTTTTATTGAATTTAATGACTAAAATATTCATTTTTACTTAACGAAAATAAATAGATAATTTAAATTAAAAATGAATTAAAAAATTTAAATTTAAATTGATAAATTTAAAATTTCATAATTTATTTTGATACAAGACTCAAATCATGATTTTTTTTTAAAAAAAATTCCTAAGTTTTTCCTTTGCCCAAAAAGGGGGGGCTTCAATATTTTTGTTAAGTAAAATTGACGAAAATATAATAATTTAGTCATTAAATTCAATATAAATACATGAAAAATGTCTAAAATGTATATTTTTATTGAATTTAATGACTAAAATATACATTTTTACTTAACGAAAATAAATAGATAATTTAAATTAAAAATTAATTAAAAAATTTAAATTTAAATTGATAAATTTAAAATTTCATAATTTATTTTGATACAAGACTCAAATCATGATTTTTTTAAAAAAAAATTCCTAAGTTTTTCCTTTGCCCAAAAAGGGGGGGCTTCAATATTTTTGTTAAGTAAAATTGACGAAAATATAATAATTTAGTCATTAAATTCAATATAAATACATGAAGAAAGAAGTATATAACTATATTTATTGAAAGGGATGGGGCATTATTATAGATTTTTTTATAAAATGTGATGACAAGAGCAAATTGAACGAGAATCAATTAGCCGATAAACAAGAAAGAATATACAATACAGTAATGTTAAAAATCTAAAAAATTATTTTAAAATTTTATTAAATATTTTATATGGGTGTGAGACCTACACAATGTGAGTCACATGTGAGTCTCACACTCATATAAGACATTTAATAAAATTTTTGGAATCTCAAATATTTTTGTATACGAGTAATGTTAGGGATTTCAAAAATTCTATCAAATGTCTGACATGAGTATGTGACCACGAGTCTCATGTGGGTCTCACACCCATGTGAGACATTTAATAGAATTTTTAGTAAAATTTTTGGGGTCTAGCATTTTTTTATATAAGTAATGTTAAATATTCTAAAAATTATACTAAAAATTTTACTAAATATCTTACATAAATGTGAGATCTACACAATATAAATTTCATATGAATTTCACACTTATATAAAACATTTGATAAAATTTTTAATAAAATTTTTAAGAGTAATATTTTTGTAGTATACAATAAAGTAAGAGCTTATCCTCTGCCCACCACTGTCCTATTCATGCTTTGATTATCTCATTGTCTTCTTCAAATCTTTCTTCACATATATTTTGACCATACATATTAAAGCTTATCTGTAGGAAACGCTATGCACTACAACTCAAAATATATATATAATTTTAATTTTTTAATCATAATTAAAAAAAAAATCATAACTAAACATAATATGAAATATAATTAAAAATTTATAAGTTATAATTAACATAAGGAAAAATTATTTATAAGTCTTATTAGGGAGATTTATGCTACATATGGTCCTACTAAAAACGTTATATTTCTATAAGTCCTGTGGAAAGTTTGTTGACACATTTACCCTCAATATTAGTTGTTAAAATGATAAATAATAGTAAAATCATATATAGGAAATTGAATGTTACCATAAATCATATCTATATAAACGTAATGTAACGTGACACCTATATAAACGTAACGTGACACCTATGAAATTGAATGTTGCCATAGATCATATTTATATGAAACGTAACGTAACGCCAACATAAACCAGCAACATTTTCACATTCAATTTAAAAAAACAAAAACTCAATTGAGTTTGCGAAACATAACGTGACACATTACGTTATATTTATGTAAGTGTCACGTTATGTCACGTTTATATAGGTGTCACGTTACGTTACGTTTATGTAAGTATCACTTTACGTTACGTTTATGTAAGTGTCACGTCACGTTTCATTTATGTAAAATCTTGTGGAATACATTCCTATCTAAATAGGACTTGAGACTATATAAGAAATTACACAGGACTTAACATACCATAAATGTTTGAAAAATGACTTATAAATAAGTCTCCCTTAAAATAATATCAAAATTAAAGAAAAAATTAATTATAATTAAATAAGAAAATAGCATGGAAAATGGTATAATTTTTTTTTTTTATTTCTAAAAAAAAAAATTAATAATAAGTCTCACCGTGCTGATAAGCTCGCTTGAACAGCTTGAGGAAGAGAAATTCAGAGTGAAGACATAATTTAGAGAGAGAAAGAGCAGATGGGTAAGGGAGGGATGTCTCGTGGTGGTGGTGAAGATGTCAAAGATGGTGAAGAAGAGAACATGGCAGCTTGGCTTGTCAGCATCAACACCCTCAAAATCCAGCCTTTCAAACTCCCTCCTCTTGGTTCCTATCTTTCCTCTTAATTTCCTTCTCATGTTTGTTCTTTTATTGATTCTTAAAACCATTTCTTTTCTTTTCTTGTTCCACTGATTATTAGCCTTTGTTATATGTTGCTTACTATGCTTCAAACTCTCAATATATTTGCTATTCTTTGTAATTTATTTATAGCCTTTCATGATGTTTACTTAGATTAATATCTATTCTTAATTTCTTATTTTACTCATTTCACTTGTAGTTTGGGGCATGGTATGTTACTCAATCAATATTAATTTTAATTTTTTTTTTATACTAATTTTCTTTGTAGTTTATTGCTTTTAATGTGTTTAGCTAGATGAACCTCTGTTTTGATCTCTGTTCTTCATAAATTTTAGGTCCATTTGATGTTAGAGTCAGAATGAAAGCTGTTGGTATCTGTGGGAGTGATGTTCACTACCTCAAGGTGAAGGCCTTATTAACTATTCATCAAAAAATTTCATGTTTGTGATATGAGATAGATTATGAAAAGGGGAAAAATTAATAGTGGGTTTAGTGTTTGGTGAAATGTTTCACTGAATCCTTGTGGCTAATGTTTTGCAAAAATTTCAGAAATTTAGATGTGCAGGCTTTGAGGTTAAAGAGCCGATGGTAATTGGGCACGAGTGTGCGGGGATCATAGAAGAAGTTGGGAGTGACGTGAAATCGTTGGTGCCTGGCGATCATGTGGCTTTGGAGCCTGGCATCAGTTGTTGGCGATGTGATTATTGCAAAGAAGGTCAATACAATCTATGCCCTGAGATGAAGTTTTTTGCAACCCCTCCTGTTCACGGTTCTCTTGCCAATCAGGTTTCTGAAATTTCTCAATAGCCTAATAGTTCTGTCGATATTATGATCAGTCGATAATATTGATTAGGTTTTGATTTATGTTCACTGTATTGCATTCTTTTAGGGCTGCAAACAAGCCAAGTAGTTGATTGTTCAAGCTTGGCTTGAATCAACTAAACAAGTTTTAAAACGTGTTTAAATTTAACTTGTTTATATAACGAGTTAATCGTGAACGAATTGAACAGAGCCAAGCACAAGTTGTTTGATTTTTTAGAGTGCACATATTCTTATCGAACGAAGTAATAAGTTGTTCAAGTATGGTTTGCTTATGAAACAAGCCGATCTCAAAACAGCAAAACACAAATCGAGTTTGAGTAGCTTGGTTTGTTTTCGCAGCCCTATATTTAGTCTTAAGAAGCACGGACATGAATACAAATTAGACACGGGACATAACGATTTTAAAAAAATAAAAATACGGACACGACGGGAACACGGTAATAAAATATGTTTTCATATATTTTTATTTGCTATCTAGATTAATATAGCATCTACAAATAATCAATATTAATAAAAAGTAACTCTAATTCTATTTTTTTTAAAACATTTTTAAATAAACACTTACCGTTTATATCTTTTTTTAATGTATGACTTATTAAGTATTTAAATCTAACAAAAAAATAATGAACATTCAATATTCATTAAAACACTAAATAAAATAGGAGAAAAGACAATTTGACATGTTCTTAGTGTGTTCTTGACGTGTCTTCTGAAAATAAATTAATTAAATAGGAGAACACATCATGTAGTGTGTTCTCAAAGTATCCGTATATTCGACACAGATACGATAAAAGTTTCGGTGCTTCATAGATTCAGTCTTAGTATGAATTATTGGATTTGATAACTAGAAGGCGGAGTTTCCTAAAACAGGTGGTGCATCCCGCAGACCTATGTTTTAAGCTGCCTGACAATGTGAGCTTGGAGGAAGGAGCAATGTGTGAGCCACTCAGTGTTGGTGTTCATGCTTGTCGCCGTGCTAACGTGGGTCCACAGACCAATGTATTGATCATGGGAGCGGGTCCCATAGGTCTGGTTACAATGCTCGCTGCACGTGCTTTTGGTGCTCCCAGAATTGTCGTTGTGGATGTAAATGATTACCGCCTCTCGGTTGCTAAGGAACTTGGTGCAGATGAAATTGTGAAAGTTTCAATAAATATGCAGGTATACTCCTCATTTTGAAAAAAAAATACTTCTTTTTTCATACATATGCTTCTCTCTTCAAAACCAAATATGTTTGCTTTTGCTTATATATAGTTCTAACTGATGTATGATATCAGTAATGATTCTTGGCAACATTTTGAGCTACTCTGGTGCACTTGTATTTTTAGTTACATACAAACTCAAGGACATTTATCCAGTGCCATTTTTAAACTTTTACAAAACTTAGCAGACCAAGCTAGTCTTATGTCTTAATCAAGTAAAATAGGTCATACAATGAACTGCAGCAATTATGGTTCCCCATTTGCCATTTCTTAACAGAATTGCTTTGCAGGATGTAGATGAAGAAGTAGGACAAATTCACAAAGCGATGGGGGCTGGAGTGGATGTGACCTTTGATTGTGCTGGCTTTAGCAAAACCATGTCAACCGCTCTGAGCGCCACTTGTCCAGGCGGCAAAGTTTGCCTTGTCGGAATGGGTCATACTGAAATGACTGTCCCACTCACTCCAGCTGCTGCAAGGTAGTGTCAGTTACGATTATAGCTCTAAATTTGGCCCTTGGAAATCATTCCAAGTTGGTGAAAATTTTATCTTCAAAAGATTAATTTAAAATTCTTTGTTATTTTTATTTATTTTTTTATTTTTTTTTTTTTTTTTTATTTATTTTTTTTTTTTTTTGGTATAATTTTAATAGTAATGGGTTTTTGGTTTTTACTTCTGGGGTGAATTTCAGGGAGGTCGATGTGATTGGCATCATCCGCTACAAGAACACGTGGCCTCTGTGCATTGAATTTCTGAGGAGCGGTAAGATTGATGTGAAGCCCTTAATAACTCACCGATTTGGGTTCTCGCAGAAGGAGGTTGAAGAAGCCTTTGAAACTAGTGCTTGCGGTGGTAGCGCCATCAAAGTCATGTTTAATCTGTAGTCCTGAAATGAAAGAAATGTCAGTATATGAAGTTTGGATGGAGTTAAAAGTAATGAATAATTATCTCAACCATGAAGTTTGATATGGTTTGTAAAAAAGTTCAAATGGCAGTATTACTCTTGTTGCTTCAAATTTTTGCATGTTAAATTGATCTTTGTATAATGTTTAATAAAATCTGCTAGAATGCTTGTGTATTTTTTCAATCAGAGTCCATTGTGCCCTTCACTTTCTACCCCTCTTGGTGGTCATTCAGGCACGCAATTATCTATCGACTAAAAATAAATAAATTTGTAATCTACTTATAGTCGTGATTGTTGAAATAGTCAACAAAGGTTGAAACTCAATAGGAAAAAGCTTCGAACTGGGACAAAGGTTCTATCTTGTCCCAATAAATTTTGCTGTTAAGGTGTGTGCATTGATTGAGGGTGGTTTGTTGGGGTTCCCATTTGGTGCAAGGCAACCTGTACCTTATTGTATCGTCATCCAAATTAACCAACACCACTGTCCAAGCGTGGTCCCAGGGAAGATCTAACCAGAAATAACATAAACAGAAGAGGTGGTTGCTGACAGTAGCATACACTTGCAAGAAAGCCATGGTACTTCCATGCCGGTGCACCTAAAATTTGTTTGTTACATTACTAGCAATCCCTATATTATCATACACTGCTCAAACTCAAGCAACGATGGCCTGAGCAAGCGAGGTTACTAGAAATCCACATTTGATCACACAATACTTCGCAAGGAGCCTGGTCCCATGAATTGATCATTCCTAAACAAGTCACAAAAGGTAAAACAAACACACCCTCACTTCACATTAGATCAAGAAAGAGTCAAAGGTTTTAAAATTTGCTAATTCATAGTCATTGAACCGGTCCAACCACTAACCAAAACTGTATGCATTTTATGGACAGCAAGCAATCAACTGGGATCAGTCAACACAACGGTATGAAACACAATACCAACACGAACTATGATATGTAGAGCCAATGGAACTGAGGGCAGTTGCAGCCGTCAGGATCAAGCCAAGAGAGTTCAAAATTCCGAGCACTTGCTTCATGTTCCTCAATCTGCTATGTTAAATACACAAACAAGACCGCCCATGCTGAACGCATGTTTACATTACCATTAAGACAACAAATTAACGGCCATGAATGCCCCAAATGACAATACCTTTGGAAGTGAGATCACGCATAGGAAATGATACATGTCTTCTAAATTTCAGTAAACATAATTATTGATCATTTGCCGTGGTCACAGTATTTGCTGTAAATAGAAGAGTGACAAGTATGGAAAGACAACAATTGATTTCTATGTATGTATGTAACTATATAAAAATATAAATATGAAAGATTTATGTGAACAAGATTTCTGTTTCCATTGCAACAGTACACTGTTCAGATAATAGTAATGCCAGCCCATACAATGCCACAAGCATATAGCTGAAAGGGAAAGAGAGGCAGGATCTACAATATAGACATGTGCAAAAAATGCGGACAAAATCAAATCTTAACAAAAGACACCATGGCAGATCAAAGATCCGACAGATAGCATGTTGACCTAGAACAACAAACCGATTGGATGGTTTTAATTCAACTGGCAAGTTTAAAAGCATCAATGAAGAGACCATAAGTGAAACCCATCTTGAAATTGTTTAGAAGAGCAATGGGGAAAGTCACCTTTGGCCGGCTATAATAGAACTTAGTTACATACTCCGTAAGGAGAACACACACAATCGCAGCAATCACATCATTGACTCCCAACGCTCCAAACGACAGAGAGATTGTCTGTGCCACATAAAAACCACCCAATAATGCGATTCCCCCAAAAAGTGCTCTCCTTGAAGGACTTGTAAAGTAATTCCTTGATTTCTCTGGCACAAGACGAATGAAATCAACCAGTCGTCGAGGCCTGTCATTGTCTTGCACAGCTCGGATGCTAAATAATAACCCTGATGATCTTAAAGCATATGTCCCAACTTTTTTGTGTGAAATCGTGGTTCCAGGAATTAAGCCATATTTGAGGAGGCCTGTAGAAGTTAAACTCAATGGATGTGCCATTGAAGACTGGTATCAATTAGAGATTGTAGAATGCTTTCCTGGAAGAAAGAAATGAACAAGGATTTCAGCCCATAGATGGAAGTTCCCCACAAGGACACAATAGATAGAGAAGCAATTGGATAAAACAACTTTGTAATATATATATATATATAGAAAAAAAAAATACAATAAACTAATATGTTGTGAAGCACCTGCTATTCTGCTCAATATAATCATGCAATCCTTAACTGGTAAAGTGGTACGAATTGGATCCTGTTTTCACCCCAAGTTGGGGGTTATGAGTAGGGGCAGGACTACTCCCATTGCATAGCCGATCACTATAGGACGAAAAAACACAGTATTCACACCTGGGCTTCTTAGATATTTCTACTCCATTGGGGATAAAACAAGAAACAAGCCTTTAACAGACTAAATTGTGAAATGTCATAATTCAAATGACAAGCAATTAAGAGTTCAGAATGCTAACAATATTATGACGATGATGTGAAGACTAATATTAGTTTGAATGCATACTTGCATAGTATAACGTCCTGCAACCCTATCCAAACCATATCCACAAAGGTAGAAAAAGTAAATTTAAGCAAATATTGATAGTCCTACCTAACATTCAATACAATGCTTTAAGAATTGGTTGTCATTCATTCTGTTGAGGATAAGAAATAAAGGGAACTAAGCTCCCTTGAAAGCACTTTTGAGTTCAAATCTGCTATAATATAAAGGTAATAAGATCACTAGAAGACAACGAATCAGTCCTCTCAACGTAGTAGTGTTAATAGACGAAGTTTCATGAGAAAACATATGACTTGTTTGATATTTTCCCCTTTTTTATGACAAAGAAGCTCCCCAAGGCAGGCCTCTTGGACCTGCCATAGCAGAGAACCTGATAACTGTAATAACCCACAAATTACATGTATCAGTTAAGTTCGGATACAGTCAAACCCCAAAATGCGTTTGCTGCTCGTCCCAGAGTTTACCTCTTAACCAGTACCCTACCCATGTGAGTTCAAACCAAGCAAAATTGAACAAAAAACCCAACAAAAAGATCAGACTACAAATGAAAAATCCAAACCCGTACTGTCTATTTTTCATCAAATCTTTTTGAGAAAAATCCAAACTTTTCCTAAAAACATGTTTTAACCCATTTTTTAATGAAAGAAAATCATCTCCAATCCATACACTTTTTAAAAATTTCACCAAATTTGATGAAGGGTTTTGTTCATCCTTGTTGGGTGAAAATTTTACCTATCCCTTGATTGTAGCTCATTTTTAACCCTTTATTCATCAAATTAAATGACCCATGATTGTAAAAACAAAAAGAATAATTAAGTGTATGTTGTAGTTTCATTTCAGTTCATAACAGGAAGTTACAGTCCTTGAAGTGTAGTCGAATATGTAGAAAAAAGCGAGAACCAAACAAGATCAGAACCACCAAATTAGGCCAATTAAAGCTATAAGAATTGGTTCAAAAACCCACAAATTAAAAAGAAATGGTATGAATAAATATGATGTTTGTTACCTTTGGAATCCCTGAAACCTCTGTTTTCATTAGAGCTCCATTTCTCTCTCTCACTTGATCCTTGCTAAACGGGAAATAGGTACATTTGAGTTGATCCTTGTTTGTTTGTTTGTATGTAAATTATATACATATGATTTTGTGAATGAGGATGTAGATGTATTTTATTTTAAAAAATATTAATAATTTGTACCGGGAATGAAGTAATAAAATATATATTGATTTTATGAAAATAATTTTATTGCGACAATAATAAACCGTCGCTAATGTAATCATCATTTCTTTACATTTTATGGGTTAACTAGTCGCATATACATATTAGTTCAAATATTTACTGACAGTTTAAACTATCGCAAATATGGTATATATTTATTTCTACTTTTTTGCAATGTCTTAGACGGTCACTAATAATATTTTTCGCAACGGTTTCAACTGTGGCAAATACAATATTAATTTAATAATACTTTTTTTGCGACGTTTTAGACCGTCGCTAATAATGTTTTTCGCGACAATTTCAACTATCGCAAATACAATATTAATTTAATAATACTTTTTTACGACGTTTTAGACCGTCGCTAATAATACTTTTCGTGACGTCAAAAATTGTCCTTAAAAAAGTTTTGGTGACGGTAACCAACATTGTCACTAAAAGTGATTTTTTTTCTTTTTTGTGTTAGGTTAAACTATCGCAAAAACCATTGATTAGCCGTCGCTAAAAAAAAACAACAGTTTGTAACCGATGTAGATACTTTTTGTCACGCCCCCTCTGCCACCCCTCATTTCCCGTCGCTGCTCCGTCTCAAAAAGTCTTTTACAATAATATGGGAACCTTTTGCGACATTTAAGACCATCGCAAAGTTTCGATTTTTAGTAGTGTTGAGTTACTTTTTCAATTGTTAAACAGTAAGTTTTTTATATTTTAACATCATATTACAAATGATTAATCACTTCATACCTTGAGATGTATCTATCATTTGGATATTTTCATTATTTTTTATTTTTGAGTTTAGACGTTATTATATAATTCTTTCTTAATTAGTCGTTGTTGAATTTCTTTTATATACATAGGTTTTAATATAATTAAAAGTGTTTATTTTATAATATTATAATTTAATATATATATATATATATATATCATATAAAATCATTACGTGATAATCCAACTACAACATATTTATATTTAATTTTTTTAATAAATTTTATATAATTTCTAATTCTACATATTTTTATTTTCTAAATGAATATAAAAGAAAATTAAATAATTAGAATTACTTTTAATTTTGTATTATTAATTCTTCTTCTAATTTAACTATTATTTTTAATATCAAAACTAGTATTTATTTTAGGGGCATTGTATGGCCTCGTTTGGGAATATGTTTTTTTAGTAAGTTTTTGATTTTGTGGCTAAATTATGATGTAAAAAACTAATATGTTTGGGATAACTTTTTGGTTTATTATGAAAAAATATGCAAAAAGTAGAGATAAAATGAAATCTTTGACTTTTTAGTATAGGTTATTGGTTTTTTGATTTTTTTAGTGACTTTTTAGCTTGTAGGCTAAAAAGTAATGTTGCCAAACGAGGCAAGTCCAAACTAAGATTTTTTGAACCTTCAAGTCCCATTAAATTTTTAATAATCAAAATTTCCCTTCAAACAATGATTATTCATCATTTATGATAATCCGTAAAGGAAAATGATGATTTGACATTTATTTTGATTTTCAAAACTTTAAAATATCAAATTTCAAATTTAGAAAACTAAAAAAAAATTATATACAAAAAAAAATTGAAAAAATAGAAAAAGCTGAATTATTTTTTTGTGCAAAACTAAAAATTTTGTGTCTATAAAGAAGCATGATGATGGAACATTGATGTGCAAAATTGGAAAAAAAAAAACTTTAAAAATAAAAAACTGATAATGTTCTCAATTTTAAAACTGGAAAGAAATAATTTTCTTGATTTTGTTGGATAGTTGAATTAAGCCAATAAGTAGAAGTGCAAAAACGTTTAATCTCATATTCTCTTTTTTTTTTTATCAGTTAGTAAAATAATTATTTGAAACATTACTATGCAAAATCGATAGTATTCTTAATTTTAAAAATTAGAAAAAATTGATAATGTTATCAATTTTACTAAATAGGACTTATTAGTTTAAAAAAAAATCTTAAATAGGACCTAAGCTACCATAATATTTGGAAGACTTTTAGGTAATTAACTCTTTATTTTACTATTTTATAATTTAATATATATCATACAAAATTATTATATGATAATTACACTTTTATAATATGATAGAACTAAAATTATTAAAATATACAAATAATTTAACTAAAATTATAATATATAAGTATTGAAATAACACTTTTATAGATAAGTATTCAAGTAACAATTTTATAAAACGATAGCGCTAATATTATCAAAATAAATAATTAAAATCATACTTTAATTTTAATTTTAAATTAAAATTATTCTTTTATAACATATATTGTACCATCAAATATTTATAATTAAAATAACACGGATCAGCTATTAGTTAAGGGTTGGTTTGGGATGTTTTAAAAAAGTGTACTTTTTGACTTATTGGCTTATATGGGTTGGGTTGGGTTTGGGTTGGGTTTGATGTGACATGTTAGAGAGGTGATGTGATTTAAATAAGATGATGTGACTTAAATAGGATAGTGACTTTTTGACTTTTTATATTATTTAATTTATGCCAAACCAACCCTTAAATAATAATAATAAAATGTGAGATAGATAGGACATTATTGTACTGCTTTTAATGAATAATAAAGTTCTGGAAAATTACAAAAAGAATCTTCAGATTTAGAACTTATAATCAAATAAATTTTTAATTTTATAAATTTAAATATAAATACTTTTATTTGCTTTTAATATTTTTGTTAAGTAAAATTAATGAAAACATAGTAATTTAGTCATTAAATTGAATGTAAATGTATGAAAAATGTCTAAAATATATGTTTTTATTAAATTTAAAAATTAAAATACATATTTTTAACAGTTTTATTTAACGAAAATAAGCAGATAATTTAAATTAAAAATGAATTAAAAAATTTAAATTTAAATTTAAATTGATAAATTTAAAATTTCATAATTTATTTTGGTACTAGACTCAAATCATGATTATTATTTTTTTAAAATTCCTAAGTTTTTCCTTTGCCAAAAAAAAAAAAAAGAAGAAGAAGAAAAGAAAAGAAAGAAACATATATCTATATTTATTGAAATAGATTTTTTTTTTTAAATGTGAAGACACAGCAAATTGGATGAGAATCAAATTAGCCTATAAACATGAAAGAATATACAAGGAGTTTTCTTAAGTGTGCAAGTGCACACCATGTGCCACTTACACAAAAAGTGTAAGTGTAAAGTGTAAGTATAAGTATAAGGTGTAAGTGTAAGGTGTAAGGTGTAAGTGGGTTGCACATGGTGTGCAACCTCAAAAAAGGTGTAAGTGTAAGGTTTAATTTTTTACAAAAGGTATAAGTGTAAGGTGTAAGTGTAAGGTATAAGGTGTAAGGTGTAAGTTGCACACCATAACCAAACCCAATATACAATAGCGTGATGTCAGATATTCTAAAATTTTTATTAAAATTAAGGGTTTTTTTGAGATGACCTAAAGAAGTGTATTTTTTATCTTTTTACGAAAAGATGTACAAAAAAATAGAGAGGTGACGTGATGGAAAAAAGATAAAAAGATGGATTATTTTTTGGTTGTAAAACTTGGCCTTATTATTAAATATCTAATATAAATGTGAGATCCATACAATGTGGGTCCTATGTGAATCCCACACTTATGTGAGACAATTAGTATAATTTTTGATAAATTTTTTAGAATCTTTAACATTTTGAGAGTGTTTGGCAAATGTTTTTTTATAGCTTTTTAGGCTAAAATCTACCAAATGACAAAATATGTTAAAATAACTAATAAAATAAAATGTCACATCAAATCCATAATCATTTTATTTTTTCTCTCACAAACATCATATCTAATTACAAAAAAAAAAAATTTGAGGGTATGTTTGGTTTGTGTTTGAGAGATGTGTTTTAAAGATAAAAAGTACGAAAAGTTGTTTGGTTTGATTTTTTTCAAAAGATGTTTTGGAAAATTATTTTGAGAGAGAGTTTTGGAAAAAGTAACTAATAAAATAAAATGTCACATCAAATCCATAATCATTTTATTTTTTCTCTCACAAACATCATATCTAATTACAAAAAAAAAAAATTCAATTATTTTTCCAAACATAAAAATTTTAATCTACTAAAATAATCAAAAATTAAAATAACAACTTCTCAAACACCCACTTTGTAGCCTATCCACCGCCGACCATGTCCTATCCATGCTTTGGTTATCCCATTGTCTTCTTCAAAACTTTCTCCACATATTATAAAGCTTATTTGTAAGAAACACCGTGCACTACAACTGAAAATATATGTGTATATATATATATAATTTTAATTTTTTAATCATAATTTTAAAAAAAAAATCATAATTAAACATAATATGAAATATGTAAGAGGGGCTAATTTGAGTCCATTAAATTAATTAGGCCCAATAGTCCAAGATTGGTGGGCCCAAATTTATCACCATCAAACGGGCTAAATAGCTCTAAGCCTCAAAAGGGTTCGGATCTACGAACCTAGAGACTTACTCGGGCCCGGACTTGAAAGGGTATTAAGCAAGCCTAGAGATCCGAGGCACTCGGACTTGAAAGGGTTCAGGTCCACGAACCTAGAGGTCCGAAACACTTGGCTTCGAACGGATTCAGACGCAATCTAGAAGTCGCTCCGTTAATGAGTCCCAGAACACTTGCGGGCTCGGAGCTTTCCGGGATCTACGTACCAGAACCATGGGCGTAATGGAGTCCGAACAAAGGACCCGATCTTGAGGACGGTGAGTGGAGATAAATTCACTCTTCGGTTAAACTAGCCTATACCCGGGTCGAGGTGGCACAATCTAGGGGGTCCCTGAGACTCGGCAACATTTGCGGCAGGGCGTTCTCTTGA